TAGGCGGTGACGGTGACCTCAGGTTGGCACCTCCACAAGGAGGCTGCTGACAAGTCACCAGCAAACAGAAGGACTTCCTGTCCTAGGCCCCAGGGGACCTGCCCTGGCCTGAGTCTCATTAGCAGGGGAGCTTGTGCCTTGGGATCCCCAAGGCCAGCTGACTTCCCTGCTCCCAGGAACAGCCCTCCTCTCCCTGACCCTGTGGACCTGCTTTCAAAAAACATCCTGTGTAGAGTTTGCCGGTGCAGTGGGAAACATCCTGCTTGCAGGAAGGAGCGCCCATCCCCAGTGCCAAGAAGGAAAGGTGATAAGGCGCCATTGAGGCCGTTACTGGGCACCTGTGGCCAGGGGTGGAGTCACACTGCTCTGACATGAGGAGGTATGGGGCAGTTACAGGGCAGGCACCTGCATCATAGCCGGGCTGCCCCATCCCCTTATCTGCTACCTCATGGGTTGTAGAACGAGGAGGCGTAGGGTTTGGTCCTTAGAGCAGAGGGAAGGCTGCAGAAACACAAAGAGCTCCCCAAGGCCCCCAGGGGAAAGCCAGGGAGAGGAGGTGGCACGAGCGGGGCAGGTTCAAGTTTGGTATCGGGAACCTGCCGGGAGCCGGGGACACTGCCCCACAAGGAGTGAGCTCGCCGTGTATTCCACACAGGCAGTGCTGCCACGAGGTTTGGGCAGGAACTCTGTGTCAGGTGCCCTGGTTTCATCCCCCAGGCCTGCATGACCGCTGGGGCTGTGGGGCCAGTGTAGTATAGGGTAAGGGTGGTGTGTGCAGGTCTAGGAGACAGCACCCGAGGGTGCCAGGCTGCGTGATGCATTAGACAGTGAGGGAGTTGGAGGGCAGCTACCTCCAAGCTTCGCTACACATGCACACACCAGCCTCCAGGTTTGTCAGGAGTTTGGCCTATCATGCCTTCCCTCCTTGCACTAGTGAATCCACTCTTCTGGAGCCACCTTGGCAGGGCATAGTGACAAGAGCCTCAACCCGGCTCCCAACTCAGAGGAGCGCACACTTGCATCGTAGAGGACCTAGCAAGCCCTCTTCTCTTCTAGCAAGCTTCTCTTGCAGAGAAGGGGTCTGTCTTCGTTACTCTCCTCATCACTGGGACAAAATTCCCAATACCCAAAAGTCAAGGGAAGAAAGGTTTATTTTGGTTCATAGTTTGTAGAGGTTTCAGTCCATAGTCAGCTGGCTTCAAGGCAGGGTGTTATGGCAGAGGAGCATCACAGAGGAGAAACAGTTCATGGCATGGTGGCAGGAAGCAGAGATGGAGGGAGGAGGGAGGGACATAGACCCTTCCGGGCCATGTCCCCAGTGACCCACCTCAGCCAAGCTTCACCTCCCCAAATCACATTTAGCCAAAAATTCATCAGTGGACTAATGCACCAATGAGTATCACACCCATGATCCAGTCACCTCCCAAAAGCCCCTTCTATGAGTGCATGAGGCTTTGAGAGAACATCATATAGAAACCATAACAGGGTGTCTGAGTGTTTTGGATCCCAGCAGGGCTGAATTGAGATGCAAACCTCCCTCCATTTTCAAGGGGGCTGAGCAGATTCCAAGGAGGGGAACATGGACCATGTCTAGGCACAGCGGCAGGGATCTACAGGCATCCTGGAGACTGAGCAGGGTGAAGATTGAAGATGATAAGGAAAGGGGGGACTGGAGCCCCTGAGAAGAGTCTGGATCCCCAAGATAAGGCAGCAGCAGCGGCACACAGATACAGGTTCTTGAAGCCCTTCCACCTGGGTGCACATGCCAGCCCTGGAGGAGAGAATCCCAAAGTGGCACCAAGTGAACAGTCTTCCTACACACACCACCACCCCCTGGAGCTCAGGCAGCCTGGTATGGGGCCCCCCAAACTGCAGAACCCATAGGAGTTGCAGTGTCCCTAGCCTTCCAAAGAAAGCAAGCAAGCATCAGAGTCCAGGCAGCGCTTCAAGATGCCAAGGTGGCAGCCGAAAATGGTGGGCAGAGGCCAGGCAAAGACATATGAGGGGCCCAGGATCTCCAGGTGTGGCAGGAGAGGAAGAGAACCAACTGCCTGAGGTGAGGTCCTGCATTAACTCAGAGGCCCCTGCAGTGTAAACATCACTGTGCCTCATCTGTTCCCAAAGGTTTGAAAGTGTAGGGACATCCAACTTGCATAGCAAATTTGCATAATAGCTACATAATTTTAGTAACGTGAAGGAAAGGGATTCTGTATAGAGGATAGAATTTCAAGGCACAATAGAGTCCCAAGGACTCCATCTTTTTCAAACTAGCCTAGCTCAATAGTGGCTTAATGTGGTAGATTAAAAATGGCTGCCAATGCTTGGCTACTCCTGCCATGGAGAAGCGACAGCTAACTGTCCTCCAGGGCATGGGCCCCCACAGAAGCTAAGAGGCTTTTCCTATCATAACCTCAGAAATCTGAAAACATCCCTTCTGCCACTTTTTATCACCCTCATTCTCCCAGAACACTGGCTGATGAACCTCCACCTGCAAGTTTTCCTCAGCTGTCGATTTGAGAGCACTAGCCCCAGGAAGTTCTGGAAGAGTCTCACTCATATTCTCACCCCTCAAAGACACAGCCCATGGGCCTCCCCAGAGTGGCTTTCCTCACCTCCTTACCACAAAAGGCTACTTCTAGAACCCTACCTTGGTAGGCAGAACTTAACCTCTGTGGTACCTGGATATTCTGGCATTCATTTAGTCACATATATACATTTCAGATCAGTTCCAAACATACCTGTTGATTTTCAGAGTTGGTTCCTTGCATCCTACACTAGACTCTATGTCTTGGTCCTTTTACCACTAATAGTGACCATTTTAAAGTGAAGACATGAGGTTCTTTCCCTTCAGGCTTATATTTACCACAATGAGACGCAGAGCTGATTTATCCATCCATCTTTCCTTCTTTGTACCTATCCAGCCAGCCAGCCCTCTCTCCAGTAAATCATCTGCCTAGTTACTTATTCATCAGTCTGTCCATTCATCCGTCCATCCAACCGTCCATCCAGTCACCATCGATTCATCTATCTACCCACCTGCCCATCCATTCACCCATCCATCCACCCATCCATCCATCAATCTATCCATTCACTCTCTCATCCACCCATCCTTCTACCTAACCATCTGTCCACCCATTCACTCACCCAATTACCCATCCAACCATTCACGACCACCCCTCCACTCACCCATCTATCCACCCATCATCCATTCACCCATCCACCCATCCACCTATCTGTCCAAACAACCACCCAAACATCCAGTTTTTAAAGTCTCACCTTGGAGAGCTACAGGCACAAACCCTTCCCTCATGACACTCATCTCCAGGGTGGGAGATGTATTCATACGCACAGAGAAAAATAGCTGCAAGCTGTCAGACAAGCATGAAGAAAATAGACCAGGGGGCAACCACTGTAGGGCTGACCTAGCCTGAGGAGGAGGGCCGGCCAGCTGCTTAGGGGGTCCTGGGGATCAGTGTGGCATCTGTAAAATCAAAGCTGTATCCTGCTTATCACAATGCTGACATGACCCTGAATTCTTCACTCCATGGTCCATAAGACCCAAAGTCAAACTGCAGCTCATGAGCAGCTTCCAGGATGTGAGATGATCAGTGTAGGCCCGGCCTCCTCCTCCAGGCAAGCAGCCATGCTGCTAGCCAGAGGTGGCCTCTGCAGACTCAAGGGACAGTCAGCAGCCAGGGCCACCAGGGCCTCCTTTGCCAACAGTTGCATCGTGGACTAAGCCGTCTGCATCTCAGGAAGACAGAGAAGGGGAAGGGGGAGGGCACAGAGGAGGAGGAGGAGGGGGAGAAGGAGGAGGAGCAAAGCCAATTCTCATTCCCCAGGGAGGCCAGAATGCTGATGCGTGCAGTCAACCCAAATCTGATCTCAGAAAGGAATGATTTTACAAAGACAAAACAAGGTCTGACCTATTTCCCACACTTTTGTGCTTTCTGCTTGAGGACCTCAGAGGCAGTGGGCATCAGAGGGTGAGGAACAGTTTGAGGTGGAGGCTGCCTCCCCTCTGCACCTTCTTCCAAGGTGACTGGTTGGATTCCAGGAGGGGCTGTCATCCCAGACAGTCCTTGAGGGCTTAGCTTGCTGGCTCCGCAGTGCCAACCAGGCCTGGGCAGAATAAGCAGACTCCCCAGGCCCCTGGCCAACCCCACACCTAGCAGCACTGCCTGGTCCCCTCCCCAACCCCACACAGCTGCCCCACCTCCATCAGAGTGGCTGTGGGAGTCCCCAGGTGCCACGTCAACCCCTCCAGTTCTCAGCAATGGATGAGTGCTGATGTCTGAGGAGACACAGTGCTCCTGGGGACCCTCCCCCGGGACACCACGGCCAGCACCTGATGAGGTGCTCTGTGGAGCTGAACCACCTGCTTCTGGGACAGCGGCGGGAGGGGACTCATGGCACTGGCCACATAGTGGAGCCATCCAGGGGCCACTGCAAATCCTCTCCTGCCTGCTGTTCCTGCCTTGTTTGCAGCACATGCTGTGGATCAGTGTCTCTCCGCACACTGTCCTGCTGCTCCATCCCTTCCATCTCCTGTGCTCCCAGCACAGGGGACCTGGTCACACTGTGGATTACTGAATGCAGACTGGGAAAAAATAGCATAAGGCCCAGCTCGGGGGGAAAGGGGATCCTGCAGGGTCATAATGCAATAACCAAGATCCACATGCCCACCCTGAATGTGTGGATTAAATAAATAATGCCCATGTCAGGGTTATTTTTCAAATGCATATACATGCCCTTGCAAATAACCAAATACAAATTGATTTTAAATCACTGCTGAATTCAAAGTAGCTTTTTGTCACTGTGAGTTTTCTTAGCCAGTGAATTCTAAAAACGAAAGCTCCAGCACATAAAGGCGGTCCAGCATTAAAATGCAGCTCGTGGACTTCAAAGGAAAGAGATCCATGACACCAGGGCAAATCCTTCCTTTTTGATGAAAAAAATGCCATTCAGAGAGGCTAAGAGCCTTGGCCAAGATCACTCACCTTGTGATGATGGCAGAGCCTGGACTAGGCCAGGCTCTCCTCCTGAATCTTCCTTCCTCTCCTGCAGAACGGGACCATCGAGAGAATTCAATGAAGAATCTGGCACAGTAGTTATGCACAATGCTGGTACTCAGTGGCTGCTGAAAAGTGATGCTCATCGTCAGTATTGCTAGCGTCATTGCCACTGTGACCCATTGCCTCCTGTGGTCTCTGTCTGCACTGAAGCCATGCAGACCTCATGAACCCCCTGCACCCACACACACCGTGGAGTTGGGCAGCAATGTGGTCAGGAGCACTGTCCTCTTCCCCACTCCGCAGCCAGTCTGTAGGCAGACAGGGAAGCATGCGCCCCTCAGCACCAGCCTCCAGGTGAGCTCCTGCAGGGGCCGTACTTTCCTAGAGCAGCTCCTCCACCCCCAAGCACCTTGGCCCAGGCCTGCGTCTTGCATGGAGGAATAAGCAAGGTGGGTCAGAACCAGGGGCGAGTTTGCTTCCGCTGGGAGCACCGGTGCTTAGCAGAGTCATCAATCTGTGGGTGCACGGATGAGTGGTGAGAGGAAGAAAGGGTAGACTGGTGAAAAGGTAGAAGGGAGGGAGAGAAGAAGGAGATGAGGAGGAGAGAGAAAGGAGAGAAGAGGAAAGGAGGGGAGGGGAGGGGAGGGGAGATTGATGGGAAGAAGGAAAGAAGGAAGGGAGAGAGGGAGGGAATGGAGAGATCTGTGGAAGGATGGATATGCTATTTGCTCAGGACATTCCGTACAACCACGGGGCGAAAAGAGTTGAGCCAGAGGGTAAGGAACACAGGTTTAATACTTCCGGTGGATTCCAGGTGACATTTCAGAGGCCAACACCACCAAGAAGCTGACTTGAGGCTGAGAGTCTCGGCCCAGCCCCCACAGTTCGGGCTGCCTTGAAGAAAAGGACTGGGGTCCGACTGAGGGAGTAGAGAGGACCCAGAAAACCTCTGCCCTGCCTCGGATGCAGCACACATCAGACAGCCTGGCAGCTTGGGGAAGGGGCTTCGGGCCCTGGCTCTGGGCGAAGTGGGCTCCCCCTCCCAGGGCCAGGCAGAGGCTCGCTGTGGGGCTGCTGTTCCAGCTGGGAGAGGAGCTGGTGGCTGCCTGTGGGCTGCCAGAGCCTGCATCTATTTATAGCCTGGGCTGCTGCTTTATTTGTTTTTTTGGCTCCTGCATGCAGAGAACCCACGTGCTTTGTTCAGCCAGGCTTCTCGGCCTTGAACACTGCTGCCGCCTCACACTCCCACCCTGGCAATGGTGACAGGAGCCTGTTGTGCACACACACACATGCATGCACGCACACACAGGGGGCCGCTGGGCCCACCTCTCCCCTCCCTGCCTGGAGCCCACCAAGCCCAGGACCAGGCCTCACCTCCTCTGCTATCACACAGCCCTGGCTTTGCACAAAACTTGTCTCCACAACATCCACGCACTCATCTAATTTTGCAAATCAAATACTTTTAATGACTAAAGCACCAGGTCCTGCAAAGGGAGCCCTGAGCAAGTGTTTAGGAAAAGGGGAAATTTTACCCCCCCCCCATGGGATTGAACCCAGCACCTTCACACTGAGCTACAGCCCCAGCCATTTTCATCACTTTGAAACACAGTCTCTCCAAATTGCCCAGGCTGGACTTAAACTTGTGATCCTCCTGCCTCAGCCTCCCAGAATGCTGGGATTGCAGCCAACTAGTGTCCTCTCACTGCAATTTGAAATCGTGTGTGTGTGTGTGTGTGTGTGTGTGTGTGTGTGAGAGAGAGAGAGAGAGAGAGAAATACTTTTTCCTAGGAAGACCCAAAAAATAACAAGACAAATGACTACCAAGCTCAGCCCCTCTGGCCAAGGCTTCTGCAAAACAAAGGAGACATCAAGAGCAGGGCACTGAGCTGCCGCCCGTGTCTGCAGGTGGCCTCCCCCCTGCCCGGGCAGTGAGTACCAGCCAGGCTGGGACTCTGGAGAGGGGAGAGAGGGGCTAACTAATTGGCAGCATGGCATGGTGCCGGCCCCCAGCCTCATGCAGCAGGCTCGGCTGTGGCCTGGCCACTGCCTGACTTTCTCCACATCCCTACCTCACTGCCCGCCCTGCAATGGGCTGGGTGTGCGCCTTGCTTGGCCCCAGGATCAGATCTCAGAGTGTGCACCCAAGTCCAAGGACTGCTACCCTATCCCTCCCAGAGCCATTGCTCTGCAGAAAGCACCTGAGGAACCCTTGCCAGCCCTCTAGCCCCGTTTAACCACAAGCCCAGAGAAGGGAGGCAACCTCTCCTAAGACACACAGGATGGCCATAGCAGAAGATCTTTGGCGTCCTGAGGCCCACCCTTCCAGCTTGGCCCCCAGGCTAATTACAGTGAAGGTAAAACATCAAAGGCTTTCTGCCCCTCCTGAGACCTCTGAGAGCCACGAACGAACACTGCAGAGCCACTTCCCGCTGTCTTTGCATTGTGGCTGAAAGGTGACCTCTCTGTCCACCTCACAGGAAGAGACTCAGCTGGCTTCCAGAGGAGACGTGAAACCGAGATGCAGACACAGGAACCTGCGGGAGACTCAGAGCAGCCATCCCCACCATCCATGACGAGGTCAGGAAGCACCCAGGGCCTTCAGCCCAGGCGCCTCTCACCCCGTTTTCTCAGGGCCTCGGGCACACCAGGCATGGAGCACAAGCAGGGAACTGCTCCCCACACCGGGGCCAGGTGCTCGATCACCACAGGGTCCCAAAAGATGCAAGTAGAGCTGAGAGGGGCCTTTCCCTGGCCCTTCTGCAGTTCTAAGCCCTGGCAGAATGCTCAGAGGGTGTGAGCCAGCACCTGTTTTGGAGGGAGGGATATTGGGGACCCAGGCACAGCAGGAGTGCCCGGAAGCTGGTCCTGTCCCTTACTTCCTCTCCTACTGCTTCAGTGCAAAACACAAGGCATCAGTCAGCATCCCTGGGCCATGCCAGCTGCCTGCTGCACCTGTCCAGGGACCACCTGCTACTTGGGAGTGCAGGGAAGCAGGGCTGCCTCCCTGGAAGAAGAGGACTGACCGAGCTGTGAAGGAGGGATGCCGTCCCACCTGCCATGCTCAGCATGGCAGCCACCTGCAGATATTGCTCCAGTGGGCTCCAGGAATTTAGGGAACTTCTGTGAGGTCCAGAGCAACGCAGGATATAGCAGGGAGAAGGTGGAAAAGGCCATCCTTCCCATGGAGGCTTCCTGGCTCTTGCTGATTTGGGGCCACCTGGAGCCTTTCTGAGGCGGCAGGAGCAGGGGTCAAAGAGAGGCCATCATGAGCAGGCAGCTTTTGGGCAGCAGCAAGCTGGGCAAGGCACTGAGTGCATTGACCTTTGGCAGCAGTGTGGATCACCCCAGAGACCTTGGGGCCCGGATCCCTGGCTGTGGGAGGAGGGCTGACTAAGCACGGCCCGTCTGCAGTCACATGCACAGACACCCCACACACCATCCAAATGGCCCGGGCCTCTGCTAAGAGGAGACAGAGGCAGCCGCCCTATCTGGGAGCCGCCTTGGCCAGGAGCCTTCAGAGGACCAGCAAACCATGTCCCAGACACTGGGTGGACTTTGTTTAAGTCTGGAAAGAAAAATAACTCTGCAAAGAACTGTAGCAGGCTGCCAGTGGCAGGGCACGGGAACCACAGAGCCCACCACAGCCCACAGCCTGCCCTGAGGACCCAGGAAGCCCAGCAGCCTGGCCTCAGCTGACCAGAGAGCCTCCAGGAGCCTTCCAGCCCCAGCCCGGCCCAGCTGTCCCCTGGGGGTCTGACTCCTCACAGCTGCTGACACTTCCTCCAGGGAGCAGAGCATTCAGACTTGGAGCCGCTGGCTGTGTGCTTTGGATCCTGCTGCTCACAGGCCTAGGGATAAAGCAGGGTGGATCTGGCCCCCACAGCCCCAGAGGCCTTTGTGAAAGGGGCCAGGGACAGACACCAGTATCGCACGAGGCACAAGAAGAGGGGAATGAAAACAACGGTTCAAACCCAGAAATCCCCTCCCGCCTCCGCCCCACCATCCGACCTCAGGCCCAGAGGAGCGCCAGAGAACTCTCTCCCCAGACCTCCACCCAGGCTGCCAGAATGCATCTGGGAGCCCAGTCTTCACCACCAAGGCCTCGCCATTCTCCAAAAAATAATCACAATGGATAAACATTACATTCAAATTGCAGAGCATCTGGGCAATGGAATATTATTCAGAGATAAAAAGAAAGGAGCTATCAAAGCCAAGAGAAAATTTAAATGCATATTGCTCAGTGAAAGAAGCCAGTCTGAAGACTACGTCCTGTCTAATCCCAACTACAGGGCATCCTGGAAAAAGGCAAAGATGGGGAGGCATCAGAAGTTCAGTGGTGAGCCAGGCGTGCAATCCTAGCACTCTGAGTGTCTGAGGCAGGAAGGTGGAAAGTTCAAGCCCAGCCTGGGCAACTTTGTGACTCAGAGATATCCTGTATCAAAATAGAAAAAAAAATTGTGAAGGCCAGGGGTGGAGCTCAATGTGAATACACTGGATTTAATCTCCAGGACCATAAAGAAAAAATGAAAATCAGTGATTTCAGGGGCTGGCAAGGGGCTGGTGAGACGATTCTGTATGGCATTGTAATGAGGGTGGACACATGACATTACGCATTTGTCAAAACCGAGAGAATGTAGAACACAGAGTGAACTCCAGAGTAAACAATGGACTCCAGTTAATATATGAAAATTGCTTCTGTGGAAACATATGTACCACACTAATGCAAGATATTGATAATAGAAGAAACTGTGTGTGTGTGTGTTTGGGAGGAGGGAATATGAGAATTCTCTATACTTTCTGCTTAATTTTTCTGTAGGCCTAAAACTGCTCTAAAAAGTAAAGTCTATTAATTAGTCATCATAATAATTAAAAATGGACACAACACATACGTAATTATGTCTCTACTGTTTTTTGTGTATTCTGATGACAACGGGCTGTCTAGCTAATTTCTAGAGATCGCAAACTATTTATCTGCAGAAGTGCTTTTCTTATGTAAATCATCCACTCAGACCGCACTCCCACTGTCCCATTTATGGGGCGACCCTCACCCCAACCCCAACCACCCCCAGGCCAGGGCTAGAGGCCTTGGGAAGCCCTTCCATGCAGACCCGCCCTCCCTGAGCCT